TCATTGTTTAAGGTTGGAACCTTATAAGAATCACACCCAATAAAAAATCATTCTTATCATTTCAGCTCATGAATACGATATCATATATTGCGGATTCCAAAGAAGCGGAAGTGGAAGTAGGGGAGGTGGATCCAAGGCACATAAAGATAGGTAGTAGAAAGTATTACAGAGATACTGGCTCTCTCACCACTCCACCTTGTACACAAGGTGTTGCATGGACAATTGTAAAAAAGGTTTGCAACTTTCTCTCTCTAAATCTGCATCCTCAACATACTTTATTACAACTTCCTCTCTCTAAATCTACATCCTAAATATGCTTCACCATGCTTGAATTTCTCTTTTGAAGCCCCTATTAATGAATAGGATTACCTATAAAAAGACTTTTGTAAATGGACAGCTCAATCACTTTTGTCTCGTAAATTTTAAAATGAGACCTTGTAAGAGTGTTACTGATTATACCCAAAATTTTAAAATGAAGTTTTCGAAATATGCGACACACCTCAAACTATCAAATTTGACATCTAATTAGTGGGAATAATTGTGATATCCTTGTACAAAAGATAAATGATCTTTTTATAGACAATCATTTGAAAAATACTTAGTTGCATGCTCCAATCTTCGAATTGCTTAGCTCATACGTAAGCAAAACTCGAACTTTTGTCAAGGGGTTTAGAGAAGTACATGCAGGCTTGCCTACCAGTCCACATAAAATCTCCCTTGTCAACCATAGTTGGATGGTGGAGATTCTTGGCTAGCCTTCATAAAACCTCCATCATCCAACTTGGTTGGACTGTGGAGATTGCAAAGATATCCTGTAATCTTCATCGTTCATTACATTAGCAAGCTGACCCACATGCAACAATTTACCTTTAGAGCCCATTTGATTCTCTGGAAATGGGAATCCTGGAATAACATTTCCATGGAAACAACACAGACGGACTTGTTTGGTTTCTTCTAAAGACGGAATTAACATTTTTGTAGGGAGTTCTGTATCCTCATTTTAAGCCAAATTTCAAGAAATGTCAATTCATTCCAAATAAATAAAATAAATATTTCCTGAAAATCAAAAGTTAAACGTCATACCCTAATGTTATTAATGTTATTATTAATATTAATACTACAATTATTATTGTTATTAGTATATTCTTATCTAAAATATAAAAAGAGTGATTATTTAAATATATTTTTATTATAATATAATGTTATTATCTTAATGTAATAATTTTATATTATATTACGATTGAAATATTCATATTTTATTATGATATTTTAAATATTATAATATTATATTAATTGTAATCAAAGATATTAAATTACTATATAATTAGCCAACTCTAATTAATTAAGATAAGACTTGGATGATGATGCTTGTAATTACGATATGATGTCATAATAATACTTATAAAATAATATTATATTCTATTTAATAATATAACAATATTAATAATATTTATTATTATAATTATTACACTATAATAACTATAATATATTAAATAACTATAATGATATAATGATAATTATTATTATTATAATGCTGCTATTATATGATAAAAATATTATTATAATATAATAGTACTATAAAGCATGTTATTACTAATAAAATAATATTATATTATTATCTAAATACTGTTATTATAATATAATAATAATATAATATTATAAACTTGACAATTTTGAAATCTCGCTATTTATTCATCACTTGGACAAACACTTACAAAAAAGGACTTCAATGATTCTTAAGTCAAATATTAATAAGATTGAGAATTGATATTTTTTAAAAAATAATGATACAATGAAAATTGTTAAATTTCCTAAAGATAAATCTTCTAGGCAATCAAAACAGTGAAGATGCATCTTCAAGGTCTCTGCCAAATATTATTCAAGCAACATACACCATCTTCTAGAAAGTGCTGATTCTAGGAGATACCAATTCCAAAATTGATGTATAAATAGATTTGAAAAATTCAAAATTTTAGCGTTATTATTATTATTTTTTGTCTATTTTTTTTACAAATAGAAATTGCGCTAAGATAAGTTAAGTCGGAGGATTTTTTGTGCATGAGTTTTAGTAAGGGCTTGAATTGTCGAATGCCTATGGCTTGAATTGTCGAATGCCTACCTTTTGATTTAGGAATAGCTTATTTTAAGTATAAATTATTTTTTAGAAAGAGAAGATAACATGATATTTAGAGAGAAAGATGGAGATAATGATTAACGCGGGAGTTAGAGAAAAAGAATATGAAAGAGTTTATTTTTTTGTGGGTTGTTTTATTTTTTATTTATTCTCTTCATAGTGTATTTAAAGAGAAGAAGTTCTTCAATGAAGAAGATAATTTAATTTGAGTAAAGAGTTCTTATGAAAAGATCTTTTGGAGACTCCCTTGTAAACTTAGAGAGATTAAATTATCTCAACCTTTATTAATATATTTATCTTATTTTATTTTTAGATAAGAATACTGAATATTATTAAATCACTGGAACTATTACAATGAAAGAGTTAAATATTTTAATTATGTCTTCCCTCCATCAAGGATACACAATCCCCAAGAGTCCCATTTTTCAGAACCAAACGAGGCCTCTTTGCAACCGACGTGAGCCGATTACGAATATTCGCTCAGAATAGAGGGAGTAAATTTATGGCTAGGCAGAGTAGCTGCATAAATCTAAAATAATCTCCTACTAAAGTTTCTTTCATCACTTCTCATTGTCTCTTTTTCAAATTGTTAATCTTTATTTCAGGTGAGGACGGTCTCCCGAGAGCAGGTGAGGCTCTTGAGGGCAGCAGTTCATGATGTAAACCATTCCACTTTCATTTCATATATATTGGCATCAGTCATCAGTCATAAAGTGTAAAAAAATTTCTTTTGAACTTTGAATTTGGTCAATGAAATAAATGTAGTCACCCAATTTCACATCCAATAGTCAAGAGTAATTATGAGCACCTTGTGCCAAAAGCAAATAGTAATAATTGTGGCTCATGTCATAGGAAGCTGAGGCGAACGCGAGGCCAATGCAGCCGATCAACCGACGAGCTGTTCACCTCTACTCCCCAAGGCGTCTTTCAACTGATCTCTACGCTTGACTTCAACATATACTAATATTGAAGAACTATATTTGAATTTCGTGTGTTTATTCTTTTAGGGCATATAATTTATATGTTACTTAGGTAATATATATTATACTAGTTCATATTAATTTATATACAAATATAAAGAGTTTTTCTTCAATTCTTCTTTATTTGATGTAACCAGTGATTTAAAAAACTACTAGTTCATATTAAATTATATACAAATATAAAGAGGTTTCCTTCAATTCTTCTTTATTTGTTGTAACCAGTGATTTAAAAAACTGATCGGTGACTAGGATGGATCAGTGAATTGGCGGCGTGCATCGCCGTTTTACTGATAGTGAAGTGGCGAAAAAATACACATAAAAACAGTGAACTAGCAATGAACCAATCTTAATCGGTGTTTTTATTGTAGAAAAATGGCGTTTTTATTGTAGCAAAACATCATTACACTCTAGCAAATCGTCGTTTTTGTTCTAGACCTGGACGATTTCCTATATATTCATAGAATTGGCATGGGGTGACCGATTCCCGAGTTGGACTAGGCAATTTCGTGCCGACCTGATGTTTTTAAAATCATTGGCTATAACCATAGGTAGAAGTCTTTTAATCTATTCATGGTGTTTATTGATTCGCCAAGTTGTGTTAAAAGTCGTCACAACTTGTTGGGTTCGTGATCTTATGGCAACCTTGTGGCATTTGATTTCCACAAGGATTAGGCCTTATGAAAAAAGTAAAACCCTACCCTAAAACCTAATATGGAAAACACTTCCGGTATGGGACATCCTATGATGGCTATAAAATCTATTTCCACCACTGATTGTGAAATTGGTC